ATCATAGAGTTGGTCCCAAGACCCAGCAAGTTCACTCATCTTGCAAGAGTAAAAGGACCTTAATATTAATTTGGGCCTGAAGTCAAGGCCCAGAATCACCAGGACTCCAGCTAGCCAGGTTGTGGTATAGGGGGCCCTCTGGGTGCTCTTTGGTTAAGCTAGGGGAACTTGTTGTATTTCATACTCTCTGCTTTAGAAATGCATTTGTTTTATTGGCTGCTATAATGGGTTTCAAGATTATTTTAACTTTTTGCCATGCCTATTGGATGATAGGCATACCCCAGAGAAACCGAAGATAAATGCCAATTTTTAAGAGGGTTGTTTATTTATCCTTTTCTCTCCAGTATGAATGGACCTTAAATTCAATCCAAGGATCATGTCAAAGTTAAAATGGCAGGAAGTTAAAAATGGAAGTTTGGGGGCTAATCTGATCTTGCTGCTACTCAAGTTTGTTAAGGCCAAAGATTTAAAAAGTAATTTTTGCAAGTTACTGTCATTTTTTTAGTGATAAATGAAAGATAATTTTGCATGCTGCATAAATGTGTAATCGTGCAAGTATGTATACATATTGTTACATGTAAAGTTTTCAAAATTGATTATTGGAGAAGTATTTCTCAAATACATTTATCTTGGAAATTGTAAGCAAGAAATAATTATCACAGTTGAAAACAAAAATGTTCAGTATTTCAGTCATCTACCTTTAGCCATATCGGTAAGAAGCCAATTTTTAGAAATCAGCCTCTAAATATTTTTAATGTCTTCACAGTTATATGATAAAGGTATGACTCATATGAGATTGTAAGTGTTCTTATTTGCTGATACTTCTTGTGGTATATTATTTACAATAACCAATTTTCATTTGTATTTAATATTGTGGATTCTCATTTTAAACCAGAGCAAAAAAAATTCTTGCAAAAAGTCTAATCAATAGGATTTGGGGGCAATTGGGAAGTCCATTATTTTATCTTCTAGGGGTAATCAAAGCAAGTGTTCACGTTTCTGAATTATTGAATTTTTTGTTATATACCATTGAATTACTTTTATTGTAATTGGCTTATTATGTGTGCTATGGCCTTTGGGTTTCTTAACATTTTCACCTAGAAACCATTCATCTTTTCTGAAGGCTACTTTTAAAATACATTAAATTTCTTCTTGACCTTTTGACTTAGGACTGATTTTATTTAATAGGATAAGTTGATTGTATTTTGGTTTAAAAATTAAATTGTTACTTGTTTATTGGAAAAATAGTCCTTACCTATAATGTATTTCCCTATTCTGTTGACTCAAATGCATTTCCAAGTGATGAAAGCCCATTGACACAGTTGTCAAAGCAAGAGTGATGAATGTAACAAAAACTCATTTCCTGGAAATGTTTGGCCTAATTGCTGACATGGTAATACAATTAATAGGTAATCTTCTGTTTTTTGAGTGTTTAAATTGCCATAGGAGATTAAAAATGTGGCATTTACACGTAAACAAGGGTAGAATAATTTTCCCACATGATACCACAGAACCATACCCAGGAAAAATTACATATATTCTCTTTTTAGAACATATTACCCTGAATTGAATAATGCTAAAAGAAAACTATGAACACTTATCAAATAACCACATTTCCTTTTCTTCCCTTTAAAAATCTATATTGAAAAGCTTCTTCTATACCATACCTGGGCGTATTTTTATATCTGCCCTTTTTCGGAAATATTAATTTAAAAAAGTACATTTGGCAGACAATCCTAGAAATGATAGGAGATAGGAGGCCAGAAAGGCTTTGGACCACAGTCCACATGAGGTGGTGGTATACTGAAAGCTTCAGCAAGGACTGTGGGAATCCCAACTGACAGCTACAGAGTTCACCCCGTCTGCAGTCTATGCTTCTTGCAGCTTTTGACTCTTTGTCTACCTTTCTCCCTCTTCTGCTTCCTTTCTCTTTTTTTGTCCTTGTCCTCCCTCAAGCACTACAGGGTGAAATAGAAAAAAACCACTTTCTACTTTTAATTCAAGGATTTGGGTATTCCAGCTGTATTACTTGCTAGCTGTGTTACTAGAGTCATTTACTTAACCTCTCTGTACTTCAGTTTCTGCCTCTGTACCAAAGAGATATGACACTTATAGAATTGGCATGTCATCTACTATAATTTGTACACATGGTCTAGACCATAGTAGTATATCATTAAATGTTAGTTATCTTCTCCCCATGAACAATTAAAGTTATTTTATCGATACATCTTTAATTGATTGACTCCTCAATGTTTCACTATAGCCTCTGGCTCTCTGTAATTTAGATTTTCATCAATGGCTCCATAACAATATAGCATAGGTGCTTCAAATACAAGGAGAGGGTGCCAAAGAATTGGGGTGAAGATTCCATTGAAAGGTTTGGTCCAACAAACTGGAGCATTCTCTAATTTTCTGTTGATTTTAGCATATACAGAAATTTGTTCTAGAAGAAACTTTAAGGAAGGAAAAACAAGCTACCCTCTTAAGTTGCACATTTGCCTTACCAAACATCATTACTTGGAGATGAAGGATTGTGTGTGGTAATCCTTATATTATGATCTGCCCATGAAATCCCCAAAGAAATTCTTATAGTGGGAACAATGACAAAGCAAGACGTACTAAAAATGTGTTAGCTAAAGCCTTTGATATCAAATTCCAAGGCAAAACTCTATCACACTAGGCTAGAAGAGGTGCCACGTTCCTTTCTTCTAAGTGAGGTTTGATGACCTAGAAGCAAAGTACTCCATTGGGTAGGTCTGATTCCATTTTAAGCCCACACCAGTGTTAGACATTAACACTGCCATGTAAAGTGGAAGGCTGGTCAAAAGCATCCATCCAGTAACCAAGGAAAAGGATTGGGGGTGGCTTTCCCTAGTATCAGACTGCCCTGGGCCAAAGCACATTTGGAGGTCCTGGGCAGGGCCAGAAACACAGAGCCAAGTGCCCATGGGACTGAGAAATGAGGTGGAGAAGGCAGAACAAGGCCACATCCACAAGGAGATCTTACGGAATTCCACCTGTACAAGTACACTCATGGAGCTGGACAAATTTAAGTCACCAAATTATTCCAGTAATAAAATAAAAAGGTGTACAATAATATCAGATATTGTGGCACAATTAGTATTTTAATCTTAGATTACTTCCCTTTGTGTATCCCAATCCCAATGCATCATCTCAGGAAAGAGTCAGATGTGTACATGTTGGGTTGGCTGGGGAAGGAAGCAGGGGTTACCCCTAGAAGCTGAGAATCTTGAGTGTTGGTTACTGAAACATCTCTTAGTCTCTCTTTCCAATCTCTACTGCCCCTTAGTTACCTGCATTACTGACACATTTTCTTCCTTTTGTCTAAAATCTTCAATAGTACACAATGTTCTCACATTAAAGTCCAGATTCTAAATTGATTGGTGCTCTGTGCCATTTATACCATGGTTCCAAAAGGCTTGTGTAGCTTCCCCTCTCACCACCCTCCCCATCCCCTACTCTGCCTGTAGACTCACTGCTCTACTAGAGGATACCATTCACTTTCTCGTCACCATTTCCTTTGCACCTGGCTTTCTCTTTACCCAGAATGCCCTTCTTACCCAACTTTAAGGTTCTACTCAACTGGTACCTCCTGTGAAAAGCTATCCTTGAGGCCCTTGTAAAATTAGAACTATTTGTTCCTTCTTCTGTAGTTTCACACTATATTATATAACTACTGAATTTCATGGGTGGTTGTTTGCCCCATCAGCATGTGAACCAAGATCCCTGGTAGGAGGAAACATGTCTTATTTCTATTTTATTCTTTTTTCCTTGTTAATATTTATCCATTGTAGACAGATATATACTAAATGCTCAAATAAGTCTGTTGAGTTGTTGTTATAGACGTAGCTCCAGACTCTTGTAGATTTTCTTAATCCCTCTAGAAGTTTTTTTTTAAAGTAGGAATCAAAGGATGAAGAAAGAAAACCTTTATTAACTATAAAATTGGTTTTAATTCCAAGAATCACTAACATCTACTACACTAATATTTTGTCATGGTAAAATACCATTAGCTGCAATGAAAATCTATGAAGGACAGCTTTACATGGAATTAAGATAAAGGGGCTATTTTTGCAATTTAAGACAAAATATTTTATAATACATGCATAAACTAAAACAGCTGAGATTATTACATGCCTTTTTATTCATTCCTGGAATAATTTTGCAATTCACAGTAGGTCTAATATTTGAATGCAGCCCAGGGTTTCTGAATTGACCCTTGTTTCTCTTCTCTGAAAGATGTTTTCAGAGGTTGATAGTATGACTTCTGTTTTCAAAAATCCTAAGTCTCTAAAGATACAAATCCTCCCTTAGAAAACCTTGGGTGTCACTGAATTGACTGTTTAAAGCATGAGACATAATGTGCTCAGCTGTTATTGTCCTACTCTCCATCCATGGTGTCTTCTTCTGGTTAATTCTTAGCTAGAATATTTGCAAAGCCAGACTAAGCTGAGGAGAGGAGAATTGGAGATTGTGGAGTCTGGAGCTGTCTGGAGCTAAACCTTTGTCATAGCCCATGTGGAACTTTCTCCTCAGATCCTGCCTATTCCCATCATCTCTTCATGGATTTTATTGAGAATATGGGGCCTTTAAAACAAAGGCAAAAGAATTCCTATGCTTCTAAATAAAAAATTCTAATGAGCACATAGCAAGGAAGCATTTTACCCACTTGTATATGTGCATTCCAAACAACCCTCTACTCCCTAAACTGAAAACAGGAATCAGACAGGACTCTTCAGGCTAACATCCACTAATGGGATATGCACAAGATTCCTAGTCACCCCTCTGCTGTCACTTTTGATTGAAGCCAGCTGAGAGATGTTTTGGCAAATGTATTCATAATTTGTCTTTCCTTGCAGGACTCTATCTGTAATTGTGTTTCCCAGCAGGGAGTCAGTTGGAGTTAATGTATTGACACTCTGCTGTGATTGATGACAACCAATGTCTTGTTAACAATTTCCCCACTCTTCAATCCACAGAGCAATACTAAGATGACTTTTGGTTTAAAGATTTAAAAGGAAGGACAGCATCTTCAGATAAGAAGACCTTCTTCAAAGGTAGGGGTTTGCCTTCTTCAAATGTTTAGATTTGTAGTTAAAGATGATCACTGTGATTGTGTAATTTATTCTTGTCATATTTAATACTTTTTAATCCAGAGAGCATGATAAAAGACAGGAAGTAGGAATATGGATACAAAAACATTTATCATACTGCTTGTCAAAGAGGATGTATCAAATACATAGTGAAGAAAACCAGTCCTTCTTGTCCTTTCATAATACAGTAATAAGATATTTATTTTGCTAAATTGAGTCCTAAAGCCCAGAACACAGACAGCAGAGTATAAGCACGGATAACAAAAAAATCTATTCCTGAAGGAACTAAAGATTAAAAATTCTAGAGCACCACTAATAAAAAAATAATTTTCTTTTGGGTTTGAGCATATGTCAAAAACCTGAGAACATGCTATCCTTATGTATTTTTTTCTTGTCTCACAGTGAAATATAAATAATAAAAAGGTCAGCTTTTAAAGTTTAAATGTTACTTTAAATGTGTGTTCTGCTTTGTAAATCCTTTCCTCACTCCTCATTTCCCACCCTACCCCCATTACCCACCCTGTTCCCATTTGTCATTTTGGATTATCAGCTCTAGAACAGGCCCTGCAGGGCCCAGGGTGCTTTCTGAAAGGCCATCTATTATAGTAGTGAACTTGATGAAAAATATCTTAAATGGAGATCTGGAATACAGTTCAGAGAACTGTGTCTCAAGCAATAGCAGCTTTCTTAAGGAATTATAAGAGTTCAATTGTTCAGACATTTAATTCTGTACCTCATAGGTTTCCTAAAACAAATGAACTCTCATGGATTTTTAGTAAGAAAAGAAGATCAAATGCAAGATTTTGAGGTAGTAAAATCCTTCCAGCATGCTGTCCCTTGTTCTTGAGAATTCTTAAGTTGATCCATTGAGATGTCATATTGTAATTAAGAGGAAATGATTCATGCCTTAGCTGAATTTGCTTCCATTGTGTTGTATTGAAACTGATTTCTTATGACTAACTTTTCTTATGGTGCTTCAAAATACCATCAGAAATCCCCAAATCAGAAGCCTAGAAATGAATATTGCCTTGCAAATCAAATGGCACACATTTTCTTCTTCTTGAAGAATCCCTGAAAATGAAAATTAGCAAAGACTAGCAAAATTAAAAAATAATTATAACAATACCAAAAAAGCCTTAATGTTGCATAAAAGGCTGTTTTAATACAAAGCTCAGTTAGTTAATGCAAAATGACTTGTTTTATAAAATCCCCCTGCAAGTGCCCATCTTTCTTTAAAAATAAGAAACACCTGCAAGGTAAAGAAAGCAATGCAATTTTAAACACTGTCCACTCAACTAGGCTTCAGAATATGTTTATACCAAATTGCAATTGCTCAAAATTAGGAATTAGTAGTAATAATGTTGAGTACAGTGACTGGCAAATAAAATACTAGAATCAATAGTAAATTATGACAAGTCCTTCTGTAGTTAATATATGGAGTAATTCCTATGAGAGGCAGAAAAACAGTGACAGCAAAAGCTTATCTGTATATGGTGGTTTCTACCAGAAAGAGAAAATAGGAAGGCAAGGTAGGTATAGGGACCACTGGAGGAAGTACTTTAAGGTGACAGTGGGGCAAAGTTCTGGGTAGGGATGATAGGTACAATACTGCTGCTTTCCCACTTTCTAGCATTTTCTCTTTCTTTCATTGCATGAAAAGTATTTGATTTAAATGTCTCTTTCTTCTAGAGGAACAAGTAAAAAAGTTGAATTCCACCTTTCTCAATACATATTTCCTGTTGATTTTTTGGCTACCCTTTTAAGTGACTAAAGCTAACTTTTAGTTGTCAGGCTCAATGAGAACCACTAAAATATATCTTTGTGAATGGTTTCATCTGGCCAAAACCAAATACTGAGGTCTTCCCCATTTCTTTCCCTTGCCTCACAAAGACTTTGCTAAAGCTTCCTGAAATTCTAAAGCACATTTGTATTCAGAATGTCCCTAGGCTATTCAACAATTGGCCTCTGACATTAAAATAAGAAAGTTGAGGGGATTTTTTTTTTTTTGTCATTCTTTAAGAGTTTTCTGTTGTCTTTCCCACAGTCACTGGTGTGTTGTATCTGAAAAGTTGTGAGCAGCCAGAATCATTGACTGTTGTTTGTGAACCCCCAGACCCATCCCACATCCTTCTTTGGAAAAGGCTACCTCTGCATGTCTGTTATCACATACAAAAACTATCTTCATATTTGTCACTAACCCTATGTGCATGTTCTCTCCATGGAAAATCTGTGTTCTACCTGGTTTGAAAGCCTTGAGCTAAAACGCAGGATGGCTAGTAGTGGGATTTCAGTAATCAGCCAGAGTGAGGAGCAGGTACACTCCTGAAATCATTCTGATAACTGGTTTTCTACTCTGGCTGCATTATTGTAATCTTGATACAGGTTGTAATCAGAATGCATTTGAAGAGAACAATGCCCATGCTACAACATGAAGCATGTTCCCATTTTGCAAGCTTTGCAAAAGGAAAAATTTGACAGGTTATTGGAATTATTTACTGATTGTGGTTGGTTGATAACTTGAAGGTTGTTTTTTCCCTGGAACTTATAGGACTAAGTTTTTTAAGTCACTCATACATCTTAGCAGAATGGAAATTATGTTCTGGATAGACAATGAAACTGACAGGAGAAGAAAGACTGTCTTATAATTAAGTAGATTTGTAAATATTAACCAATCTTATTACAGATCCTAGATAGGAATATATTTTTAATACTATTCAATAGCAAAGAGATCAAAATTTTGCCCTATAGAATCATTTTAAAGCTGAGAAGTTCTGTCTTTTTTAATAGCTATCTGTCAAAGCAAGAAAAAACATAGCATCCACAGAAAGAACACCATCCCACAAAACTAGAGACGAAAGGCTTACAAAATAATCAGTTCCCTGGGAAGCCTAGTATTTATAAAAACTGAGATAAGGATCTAAATCTAAGTAAAGGATATGCACCTTTTTATTGTTTTATACCAGTTAAGTTTGACTTGCTACTTAGTCATCTAGAAAACCGAAGCCACCCTTTCTTACACTTTTTGACTCCTCCTTCCTGACAGAGAACGAGCTTCAGATTTCAGTTAAGTGACAATGTCTCTTGAAACATTAGTACACTTGTACAGTCCCTCTGTGGTGATCATGGCAAAGTTCTTCATAGATGGCTACTTACCACAAAGGGCAGCATTTCTGGAAGTGTGATGGGGAACGTTCTGTTCTTCCATCATGGGCGTTGTCCAGCTGTTTATTTCTGTGTGGAATCTGAGCAATGCCTGTGCCCTGGGGTTAGATATGATATGTCCTGGGGCATATCAAATCTCACGAACAGTACTTCTGTAAAGAGGCTGGATTATAACCTGATACTTATCTCTAAGCTATAATGGCATCTACATCGTGATTGAGATGTTGTTATCAGTTAAATCCTTTCTGACCCTTGCATCCTGTCCTCATTATTCTTATGGGACATGCCATTTTTCTCTGGTCACCCCATCCCATTCTCCTCCTACTCCTCCCAGTGGCTTGGTTTGGTAGCCATGATTGAAGTCTCAGAAAGAGCAGTTGGAAGGTGTCTCAAAAAACACATCAAGATTCCTTTGGATAATAGTGGGATGTGTGATGCTGTAGCGGTGAGAGAGTGAGGGGAGAGACAGAATTATGGTTTGTGGCTGCAACAATTTGTACTACTGGTCAGGAAGGAATCCTGCAAATTTCATGTTTCCTCTCCCTCTTCCCACTGCAGTCTAGTGGGAAGAAATGTCTGCTTTGAAATTGGAAGAAGAAAATGGCAGGAGTCACTCCAGTCCAGGAAATGTGCTGCAATGTAACATTTGTACACCAAAAGGCTGGCACAGTAGGGAGGACAGAGGGTAAGGGAGAGCAAGGGAACTTCTGAAAGGAGCTCTTTGCAGATACTAACTGGATCAGATTTATTTTCCTTGCTGTATTTGTGGCTTACAGTTCTAAACTGTGTTTTAGTGTCACCAGAATTCCAGCTGGTGATGAGATAAGGCTAGATCAGTGGCCCATGGACTTTAATTTTAAGGCTCGCTGGTCTAACCAGAACAGTGCCACAAAACAAAGGAGACCACTGTCCTATTGCTCTTGTCCCCAGCAAGTACAACCACTACTGAAATAATTTTCCCCATAAGAGGAACCTCATTCCAAATGATAATAAGAGATATTCATCCAGAGTTCACATTACGTTCAGCACTCTCTTCACCCAAATCACTGTTTATCGCACACTACAACCTGCCGAGTATGGTCCTCTAAATATAGAGAGTCTGAAGGGAGATGTACAGCAGGAGTGCTAGAAAGCCTCCTGTGCTGTGCCTGTCACTCTGTGTGTGCAAAAGTAGGTGTATGTGCACAGTGCTGTGCTATGTTCCCAGGTCCCTTCCTTCCAGCATCTGGACATTTCATCCCTAGCTGCATTTGGAGGGAGTCAAATCCTGACAGGAGGATTATCTAGGGAACGACCCAGGAAGAAAATGAAGCCCAGTGTGGAGCAGGAGGCCAGGCCCAGGCCCCTGCTGGTAATACAGTATGTTGCTGTCACAACTGACTGCATACACAAATAGATGCTTGGATTTTTTTTTTTTTTTTTTTTTTTTTTGCTTTGCTTTGTTTTGTTTTGCTTTGCTTTTCCCAACAGCATTCATTTTGCAAGGCAAAGGGAAAAAAAAAAAACCTCTTGGACAGATTGAAGTTTTCATATCTGCAGAAGGCATTTCTACAGCTTTTGTCAAACTTAGCTCGTCTGTAAAGATTCTTTGTTTCTGGCTGACTGTTGTGGCAAGCAAGTCCATAAACTAGCAGGAATACAGGAGAGAATGATTTCTATTGAAACCTTCGAGTAGGATATGGAGCACGGAGCCAGTGTTGAAAAGCGTTTTGTTTTTTGCAGCATGGTAGAAATTCACATTCAGATTGCTGCTCTGTGTTATTTAGCATGCTACAGTTAAACAATGGGGCATGCCAGCCTTC